ATTACCATTACCATTACCATTACCATTGTATTACCTCTACCATTACCTCTACCATTACCATTACCATTACCATACCATTACCATTACCATTACCATTACCACTACCATTATCATTACCATTACCACTATCATTACCGTTACCTTCACCAGTCCCATTACCATTACCATTACCATCTCAGAATCTGAACACAACGGAAATGGTTGACTTAGGAGAGCAAGGTATACACATAGGAACCCTAAGAGTGTTGTACTCCTTAGAGTGCTACTCACTGCAGCCTACAACCAATAACAACATTTGACACACCTCCGTAGGCTAAGTGAGGGGCATCAAAGCAAGCATGGTGAACAAACGGTCACAAGACCAGTCAAAGCAAGAAGCAAGGCAAGCTCAGGGTGGATCTCAAGGACACCACACAAATTCCGAGCGCAAGCAAGTGGCCACAAGGCCAGTTCAAGAGTTCACTAGGATATATATAAGAAAACACAACAAGCAGAGCAAGCAACAAGACTACAGCAACCGAGGGCCTACCTCAACAAGCCCCAACTGCACACAGAACCTGTGGTGATCACCAAGCGCCAAGGCCTTGGTGAAGACGTCTGCAGTGTTGGCCTCGGAGGCCACAAAGTCCAGGCGTGCCTGGCCGCGTCGCTGCAGCTCTCGCAGGAGGAAGTACCTCACGTCAGTATGCTTCACTCTGCTCTCCAGTCGAGGCTCTCGACACAGGAGGATCATGGCCTTGTTGTCAGCGTACAAGGTCGGTGCAGAGCGAGGCCGCTCACCAAGGTCGGCGAGCAAGAAGGTCAACCAGCGAAGCTCCTGTGCCGCCATGGCACCAGCGTAGATCTCTGCCTCTGCACTGGAAGTAGCCATAGACGACGACCGTGTGGACCTCCACGACACAGCTCCAGCTCCCAGACTGAAGCAGTAACCCTGAGTCGAGCGCTGAGTCTCCACGTCGTCAGCGTAGGAAGAGTCACAGTGACCAGTCAACGTCACTGGCTGAGTCCCTCCAAGTACAAGCCCCATTCCTGATGTAGTCGCCAGGTACTTCGCCACCCTCACAGCAGCTGTCCAGTGGACAGGACGGTGTCTCCCAGTCGCAACAAAGCGAGAAAGGATGCTGAGGGGAAAGGCGAGGTCCGGGCGAGTACAAGTCATCAGGTACATGAGGCAGCCCACCAGCTCTGCGTAGGGACCACTGGACTCAAAGGGCTCGTCAGGAAAGGGGCCAGTTTTTTTTTTTTTTTTTTTTTTTTTTTTTTGTATTGAAAAGTATACATCGCAAAACACAAATGCATACTAGACAAATCGGTCGTAACCGTGCATGAGTGAGCAGAGGCTGTCTGCTCCGGTGAGGAGCTACGGTGGGTTGAACACCGTCCTAGGGTTAGTCCAGATGGACTCGAAACCGCTGGTCCACGTCCACTTCTTTTCTCCTGCCACCCGTATCTTGCTTATCACCCGTTGTTCCTCCAATAGGCTCTTGCCGAAACTGCCATCTTGCGCCGATTTCTTTTTCTTCTGCCACGCTGTCAAGCGTGCTTTCATATACACTCTCGCATGCAAGCGGAAGGCGAACAGGATCCTCCTCAGCACTCGGCACGCTCTGAATCTGCGCCCCCTGAAGACAGCTTCGCACCGCTCCAACCAAATCTGATGCAGCGTGATTGCAATGAGAGTCGCTTCCGGAAAAGCGGAGACTATACCAGCTTTGCAGAAAAGAAGGTCCTCCAGAGAGTCCGCGACCCGTCGTGGATTCAGCATGCGGAGAGCCCGCTTCAGCGCAGCAATCACAGTTTGGATCCGCGGGCAGGCGAAAAGGCAATGTTCCAGTGTCTCCTCGTTGTTGCAGTGTGGGCAGAGGGGTTTGTCACTGAGGAAGGCGAGTCTCTCTCCCACTTGAAGATTGAAATTGTACACCCGCGTTAGTACATCTCTCGGTCTGCTGGGAGTGACCAAGGACTCCCGAATACCCAGAACCTTTTTCCAGTTTATTGAGCCGCTCCACCTGCCTGCCCAGCGCAGCATCCGATGTGACTGCACCCGCTCCCCCTCCCAATGCTCCCGCATTCTCTTCTGCGAAATCACTCCCCCGTTTTCCAGGATTGGGATGCGCGGGAGAGATGCTACTGCGCCCGGAACCCCACCAGCCGTGTTCGTGCAGGGGGTCAGGAGAGCCTCCCTCCATTCGCTTGGTGCTGCTGTGAACGCCTTCAGAGCAAGCCTGGCAGGCCCCTTCCCACCGAGCTGCTCTGTGAGCTCCGCCATGGATTTCTGCTCCCAGCCACCGTCCTGTTTCTGCTTCACCAGGTCTCCCAACACCCAGTCCCACAGCTGCTCTGCAGCCTTTTGTCCACCCACCGGGGCTGTCACTCCCATCATGATGGCACGGTTGAAAACCAGCTTTTCTTTTGCGACCTCCTCCCTCGTGATTTCTACCGTCCGAACACTGAGGGGCGATTTCATGAAAATCTCGCACGTCTGCTTCCAGCGCTGGCTTCTCCCTTCCCAGTTGCGCAGAAGGCGGTCGTGCGAGGTGAAAGTGTCTAGCCCCAACGGAAGGTCAGCCGCGCGCACCATCAACTCCCTCTTGAGCTGATCTGCTTCCGTCATTAGCAAGCCGACTCTCTTGGCGGCCAGGCACGCAAGTGTTACACTTGGATCTTGGACCCCCAACCCGCCATCCATCCTCGGGGTGTAGAGCAACTCCTTGCTCCACAGCAGGAAAACCTTTGTGGGCGTTGCTTTGTTGCCCGAGACGAAATTGTGTATTAACTTCTCCAGCTCCTTTCAAACTTTTGCAGGCGGCGGGTAGACTTGCGCTTGAAAAGTCATCACAGGCTGGATGTAATGATTCGCCACCGCCCCTCTCGCCTTCTCCGTGAGGAATTTCTGCTTCCAGCTTGTCAAACGCTTGGTGATCTCTCCCAACGCCTTTTCCCAGGTGGGAAGTCCACTGCCGTCCGGTGTTACCCAAATCCCCAATAGCCTTTCTGCCTCTTGAGGCTTCGCCCACTTGAAAGCCCCGTTCTCCGAAGCTCCAAGGTTTAGGCCCAGAGGTAGAATCACCGTTTTCTCTTTGTTGGTCGAGAGGCCAGACTGCCGCTGAAAATCGTCTAACAGCTGTTCCGCCTTGTTAATCTGCTCCCTCCCCTGCAGAGCTAGAGTTGTGTCGTCTGCATACCCAAGGTATGCCAGGCGTTGTCCGGCGATATTCAACCCCAGCTGACTCCTCTCCACCTTCTGCACCAGAGGCTCCACAGCGCACAGAAAGAGGTATGGCGCTAGTGGACAGCCTTGACGCACTCCAGACACTACTTCTATGCCGTCCCCCAGCCAGCCGTTGATCAGCGTTTTGGTCGTTGTGTGTGCATGCAGGCCCTTGACCCACGACACGAACTTCACCGGAAAGCCCATGCGCTCCAGTACGTGGAAGATGAAATCCCGCGACACTGAATCGAAAGCCTTCTGGAAGTCAACGAGCAGTAAATACCAGTCTTCATTTCCATTTTTTGCCGCGTCGATTATGTCCGCTACCAAAGCCACCGCATCAGTGAGCCTTCTCCCCGGGATAAAGCCGTATTGTTCTGGTGAGATCACCTGGTGCAACACTTTTTTCAGTCGGTCCGCCAAAACTTTGGCCAGTATCTTGTACGTGAAGCTGAGCAGGGTTATCGGCCTGTAGTTGCATAACTGATCCCTGTCGCCTTTTTTGTGCAGGAGAATAGTCACAGCTTCCTTGACCTCCCCAGGAAGTGACCCCGAAACCGTGAAATCTCGGACCATCGCCATGAAACTCCCGCCGAGAAGGTCCCAGTTTGTTTCAAAAAATTCCTTCGGCAGCCCGTCGTTCCCTGGCGATTTGTTTTTTGCCAGTGCAGCGAAAGCCTCTTTGACCTCTCCCTCCATCCAGTCAGCGGCGAGGTGCTCTGCTGCGCCGGGGTGCAGTAGCCTGTTCGGCTCTGGAAAGGGGCCAGTGAGTCTGTGGTCAACAGCAAGAGGAGTGGGCTGTGTGGTGGAGAACTGGAAGTCGAACCGCCGAAGGACCTGCTGCACCATGTGTGACTGCGTCAGTATGATGGTGCGAGCGGCTCTGTCCCTGGTGATCTGCAGGCCAAGGTAGCGCTGCAGTTCACCCAGGTCAGTGCACTTGTGTCTCTTCTGCAATTCGGACTTCACCTGAGCCAGTACTGCCCTGTCTGCTGTAGCAAAGACCAAGTCGTCGACGTAGACAAGGATAAAGAAAGGAGTAGAACCCTCACGAACAAACAGCGAAGGGTCGGCAGACGAAGGACGAAACCCAAGGTCACGAAGCGTGGAGCGAAGAGTGTCGTGCCAATCACGGGGCGACTGGCGGAGACCGTAGACTGGTCGCCTCAGGCTCCACTGGGTCCCAGGTGGGAAGGTGTCAGTGAAGCCAGGAGGACGTCGCAACCAGATCTCCTCGTGTAGCTGGCCCTGGAGAAACGCAGTGGAGAAGTCGAGGGAGTGCAGCTCGTAGTCTCGCTGCGCTGCTATGTGGAGTAACACCCGAAGAGTAGTCATCTTCGGGGTCGGGGCAAAGGTCTAGAAGAAGTCAACTCCCTCACGCTGACTGAAGCCCCTAGCCATGTAGCGCGCCTTGAACACCGGCGGTACTCCAGGCGGCCGCTTCACCTTGAAGAGCCACATGCCATCGACTACGTTCGCCCTGGGAGGGGGAACTGCGTCGACGTAGGTGCCTGTGGATCTCCAAGACGCCAACTCTGAGTCCATAGCCGCTTTCCACTGAGAGGCCCACGCCCCTGACACTGCCTCGCGGTAAGTGCGAGGAGTCGGTATGTCAAGGGCGTCGGGGTCTCCCTCAGGGGAAAGCAGCATGGCACAAACAGAGGGAGAAGCGGCTGCCCAGTACTCCAGCTCAGACTCGCTGTCCTCTAGGACGTCACAGCCAAGGGCAAACTCACCCCCGACGGACAGAGGACGGTAGGGAGGAGCTGGCACCACACGGGTGGCGTAGTCAAGGCGGCTGGCGGCAGCAAACTCAGTAACAGCGGCAGTGAGAGCCGAGACAGACGACGGCGGGAAACGAGAGTCGGTGACAAGAGTGGCGAGGACACTGGAGAGAACAGGATGCACAACACGGTAGTAGTCGGAGATAGGAGTGGGGAGGGCGGGGAGGGAGGACGGAGGAGGAGACGGGAGAACAGACTCAGGAGGAGAACGACGAAGAGACGAACAAAGGAGGGCAGTGCGGAGGTCGGGAACAGGGGACGAGTGACGAGCACGCGGAGGACAACGAGTGGTCCAGACGTGACGGACCTCAGGAGGAGGAGACTGAGGAGGAGGAGAAGACCAGACCGCCGGACGGTCGTCAGGAGGAGGAAACGTAGGACCAACCACAGGAGGAGACTGGGAGTGGACAGGAGGAGAGGAGGAAAGGCCAATGGCCCGCAGGCCACTCACAGGTGGGAACAACTGCCGCTCCAGAGGAAGCTGCGGTGGCTGCTGCGGCTGCTGCGGCTGCTGCTGCTGCGGCTGCGACGGCTGCTGCTGCTGCGGCTGCTGCTGCTGCTGCTGCTGCTGCTGCTGCTGCTGCTGCTGCTGCTGCGGCTGCTGCTGCTGCTGCTGCTGCTGCTGCTGCTGCTGCTGCTGCTGCTGCTGCTGCTGCTGCTGCTGCTGCTGCTGCTGCTGCTGCTGCTGCTGCTGCTGCTGCTGCTGCTGCTGCGGCTGCTGCTGCTGCTGCTGCTGCGGCTGCTGCTGCTGCGGCTGCTGCTGCTGCTGCTGCTGCTGCTGCTGCCACTGCTGCTCCAGCAGGTCCAGCACCCGCAGCTCCTGCCGCTCCCTCTCCAACCGCTCCTGCTCCTCACGCTCTCGCCGACGGGCAGCCTGGAGACGCGTGTCGTGGCGGTGGGGAGGCGGAGTGGACTCCGCAGAACCAGGGTCTCCAGCTCCAGTCTCCTCAGGACCAGCACCCCCAGAGCCAGCACCCCCAGAACCAGCACCTCCAGCGTCAGTGCCTCCAGCACCAGCACCTCCAACTCCAGCACCCCCAGAACTAGCACCCCCAGTGCCAGCACCTCCAGCTCCAGCACCCTGCGAACGAGCACCCCCAGCCCGAGCACCTCCAGTGGCAGCACCCCCAGCGCCAACGCCCCCAGAGTCCACAACCACCTGTCGCGGAAGTGCCGAGGGCTGCTGAGGGGACTGGGAGGAGGACTGCGGGGAGGGAGACGCTACCTGACGCGCGACCGAGGGAAGAGGGGTAGCGTGGGACACACCAGACGGGGCAGGACCAGGGGGGGGCGGGGGTACCGGAGGAGCAGGAGCAGGAGGAGGAGAGGGTGCGAGGAAAACGGGGGGAGGGGGTACCGGGAGACCTCGACAGGGGTACCGGGTGTAGTAGGACACTGACTCGTCGAACCGGACGTCATGAGAGTCTAGGAACTTGGTGGGTGTTGAATACCTCCAGGACAGGGGGATCACGGTTACCTGCTCAGAATCTGAACACAATGGAAATGGTTGACTTAGGAGAGCAAGGCATACACATAGGAACCCTAAGAGTGTTGTACTCCTTAAAGTGCTACTCACTGCAGCCTACAACCAATAACAACATTTGACATACCATTGCCATTATTAGTATCATCGCTAAGCGCGCAGTTGAACCTGGCGGGCAGTTGGACCAGGCGCGCGGTTGGACCAGGCGCGCATTTGGACCATGCGCGCACTTGGACCAGGCGCGCGGTTGGACCAGGCGCGCAGTTGGACCAGGCGTAGATGCTAATAAAGTACAAATGAGAAACCAAGTGAGCACAGCGAGCCATAATAAAATTGAAAATCGGATTCTTGCATTAGCATAGAATGATTTGCTTTCATTGAGAGTTGAACTCAAGACCTCCCGCTTACTAAACAGGTGCCCTAACCAACTGAGCTATGAGAGCTGCTTATGTCATTCTACAAAATCATATTTATTCCAATGTTTCCGAGCTCACATCTTGAATATCGTGATGGGGAGGCTACCCCACGAGCACAAATGGTAAAACGCTATCCTTACCTCTAGTTTTTGCTGCATGCCATGCCCGTCTGAATCTGCACATGTTCGAAGCGACGCAATGCGCCCATTCTGACGCGTCTTGTGTGGTTCTTGTGCATCCTTCGCGTGGTGCGCGCGTGCAGGATTCGGACAGACAATCGGGGCGATCTGGGCCGTCGGATGCATACACGGCGAGCGGTCGAGATGATGACGATCAGATGGACGATTTCGACCGCGACTCCGCAGGTGCGCGTAAACCATTCACTCTCCCGCTGGTTCATAGTCGTTCTCCTCTGTCTTTCTCTCTTTCTCTTGCCACCCCGCCGCCCCACTTCGCCTTCTCTTGCCGAAATCTGTGTTTTCTCTGCCCGATCACCTATCTGCTGCGTTCAGGTCAAGATTGAGAGGTGGAAGGGGTCGGATCCGTTCTGTATGACCGCCCGAGTGAGGTCGCGGTTGGGTCATTCTCTTTTCCGCACCCTCATTCCCCCTTCCGCCGTGACCCTTCCCCCTTCCGCCGTGACCCTGTGGCAGGACGGGAGGCGGAGGAGGCGGAGGGGGATCCGACAACGGCAGCGAGGGCGCGGCTGGGTCATTGTTCTGTTCCGCTCCCCCCTTTCCCCCTTACGCTGTGATTCTGTGGACCCGATTCTGTTCCGCCGTGATCCTGTGGCAGGGCGGGAGGCGGAGGAGGCGGAGGTGGATGCGATGCTGTTCGCGCGGTTGGGTCATTTCTCTTCTCTTTTCTCATTTCTCATTTCCGCCGCAACTGTGTGGCAGGGCGGGAGGCGGAGGAGGCGGAGGTGGATCCGATGCTGTTTGAGAACGGCAGCGAGGGCGGTGAAGCGGACGGCGCGGCGGGGCGAGCGGGCGAGGAGGAAGAGGAGGAGGGAGAGGATCTGCTGAGGGATGATTTCCTGGAGTGAGTGGAAGGCTTTTTGGAGTGAGTGGGAAGGCTTTTTGGAGTGAGTGGGAAGGCTCTTTGGAGTGAGTGGGAAGGCTTTTTGGAGTGAGTGGGAAGGCTTTTTGGAGTGAGTGGGAAGGCTTTTTGGAGTGAGTGGGAAGGCTTTTTGGAGTGAGTGGGAAGGCTTTTTGGAGTGAGTGGGAAGGCTTTTTGGAGTGAGTGGGAAGGCTCTTTGGAGTGAGTGGGAAGGCTTTTTGGAGTGAGTGGGAAGGCTTTTTGGAGTGAGTGGGAAGGCTTTTTGGAGTGAGTGGGAAGGCTTTTTGGAGTGAGTGGGAAGGCTTTTTGGAGCGAGTGGGAAGGCTTTTTGGAGTGAGTGGGAAGGCTTTTTGGAGCGAGTGGGAAGGCTTTTTGGAGTGGGTGGGAAGGCTTTTTGGAGTGGGTGGGAAGGCTTTTTGGAGTGAGTGGGAAGGTGTTATGTGGGTTGCTGGCCTGCATGGGGTGGGAGGGAGAGGATCTGCTGAGGGATGATTTTCTGAAGTGAGATCCCTTCAGACCACCCAACCAATGCTCCCCTTTCATGTCTTATGCCCTTGTGCTGTGCCTTCTCTTTTTGCAGCAACAACTCCCCAATGCTAGGGGCAGGGGGCGTGTGCTGTAACCCCTTCCCTTCACCTCTCTCCTCTCCCCCTCCACGCAGCGACTACCACCCCATGCCTCATCTGGACGAGTACGAGAGAGAGGGAGCACCTGGCTGACAGCGAGAGGAGCACTTCGTTGCTCTGTGTGGTAACCCCCCTCACGTCTCTCTGTGCCGTGCCCTATCTATCCCTCTCTCCCCTCGCCCTTGCAGTGACTACCGCCCCATGCCCCACCTGGACGAGTACGAGCGGGAGCACCTGGCGGACAGCGAGGGCGACACCAGGAGCAGCGGGCAGCGCGCGGCAGACAGGCGGGCGGCAGAGCGAGAAATGGCTCGCAGAGACGCCGGGAGGAGGGGCGCCGGGGGTGATGATGGGGGGAACCGACTGCCGTCTATTCTGAGGGACCAAGGTGAGAATTTTGAGAATTGTGAATAGTGACTTTAACGCGCAGAGACGCCGAGAGGAGGGGCGCCGGGGGTGATGAGGGGGGGAACCGACTGCCTCCCATCCTGAGAGACCAAGGTGAGACGGCAGAGGGGGTGGGTGGGAGTGGCTGTTGAGTCAACTTAGAAGTCATCTCTGTCACCTCTGTTGAGTGGACTAGGCTGAGCCCACACGGTTAGGCTGAGCCCACACGGTTAGGCTGAGCCCACACGGTTAGGCTGAGCCCACACGGTTAGGCTGAGCCCACACGGTTAGGCTGAGCCCACATGGTTAGGCTGAGCCCACATGGTTAGGCTGAGCCCACGTGGTTAGGCTGAGCCCACCTGGTTAGGCTGAGCCCACGTGGTTAGGTTGAGCCCACGTGGTTAGGCTGAGCCCACATGGTTAGGCTGAGCCCACGTGGTTAGGTTGAGCCCACCTGGTTAGGCTGAGCCCACGTGGTTAGGTTGAGCCCACGTGGTTAGGCTGAGCCCACATGGTTAGGCTGAGCCCACATGGTTAGGCTGAGCCCACATGGTTAGGCTGAGCCCACATGGTTAGGCTGAGCCCACGTGTTAGCACCACGACGAGCCACTGACAAACTTGCAGGGGGTAGCACACACAACCTCTCACGCACCTCAGCCCACTACCTTGTCGTTCCTACCCCTGCTTCTTCTCCATTACCCTTGTTCTTTGTAAACCCTTGCTCCTCGTTATGCAGACGACGACGACAGTGGGCTCTTCACTCGCAGGGGGCAGCGCCGCCGACGCACCGACTCTGCTGACGCTGCTGTGGGGGTGAGTGCGAGAGAAAGCGAGGGACGCATGCTCTGGTCGAATGACCATGCTTTGGAGGGAGGTCAGATCCACCTGCGCTGCATTTGTGCCAGAGCGGCTGGTTATCTCAACACATCGTTTTACACCATCACTCTTTTTCCTGCTCCACTATGCATGCCACTGTGACAATGCAATGAGCATGCTCCAGTCTTTAAAAAGAAATCCCTTTCTCAATCTACTTTTGAGTCCTCTTTGCTATGCTGCTGTCGTCATTGCACTCCCCTTGTCCCCTTCTCGTGTCCGCAGGGGAGCTTTGCCACAGAGGGCACAGGGGGAGGGGAGGAGGACGAGGCGGAGGAGGAGGATGATATCAACGATGACTCGCTCTACAACATGCAGGTGATTGCAACACTCAGGCGATTCCAACAGGCAGGTTTCAGGTGATTCCAACCGTCAGGTGATTTCAACATGCAGGTGTCAGGTGATTAAGATTCAGGCTATTTCGACAGTCAGGTTACAGGTGCTTGCAACATCAAACTATGACCTCCAAACTATCCCAATCATCCCCTTTTACCAGTGCATATTCTCTCCCCGTCCCTCTGCTCCCTTCCAACAGGGAAGTCTGAGAGAGTGGTTGTCACAGGACGAGGCGCGGCGCATCGTGGCACAGTGCTTCCACCTAACAATCTCAACACCCTCCTTTCTCCTTCACCATATCCTCTCCCTGTCCCCCTCTCCCCTCTTATCTGCCAACAGGGCAGCCTGCGGGAGTGGGTCTCCCGGGACGAGGTGCGGCGGTTCATGGCACGTCGCTTCCGGCACTTCCTGCAGACGTTCAAGGACACGCGTGGGCGGCACCGCGGGGACAGCGATGCCGACTATGCCATTCGCATCCGCGAGCTGGTGGAGAGTGCGTGAAGGGGATATGGAGGGACAGGGGGGTGGAGAGGTGAATGAAGGGGGGAAGTGTGAGTGAGGGATGTGGGGGACAGCGATGCCGACTATGCCATTCGCATTTGCGAGCTGGTGGAGAGTGCGTGGGGAGGGGGGGGATGAGGGAAAGGGGGAATGAATGAAGGGGGGGAATGAGTGGGGCGGGCGGCACCGGGGGGATAGCGATGCTGACTATGCCATCCGCATTCGAGAGCTGGTGGGGAGAGTGCGTTTGGGAGGGGGGGGGGGGGGGGAGAAGGGAGAGTGAGTGAGAGAGGAAAGAATGAGTGGGTGAGTGATTTGGGATAGAGTTAGTGAGGAGGGGAGAGGGTGTCAGAGTGTGGGATGGAGGGAGTTGGCCCGCACACACCGATGGTCTTTCGTTTTCGTTCTTATCATTAAATGCTTCCCTGTGTGGTGTGTGCGTGTGTTTGTGTGTGCATGTGTGTCTGTGCATGTGTGTCTGTGCATGTGTGTCTGTGCATGTACATGTGCATGTGCATGTGCATGGGCGGTGTGCAGTGAACAGCTGTTCATTGGAGCTGGACTACTCACACCTCCTCACCACCCACCCCATCCTCGCTGTGTGGCTCGCTGATGCACCGAAGCAGGTGAGCGCTGTGACTATGATCGTCGTTGTGGGATCTGCAACCCAAACGTGTGTGTCTCGGCCTTGCCATCTCGGCCTTGCCATCTCGGCCTTGCCATCTCGGCCTTGCCATCTCGGCCTTGCCATCTCGGCCTTGCCATCTCGGCCTTGCCAACTCAGCCTCAAAACAGTTCACTGTATGTGAGGTGTTCCGCGCCTTCCCCATGTACGAGCAGAGCAGAGCAGGGCGGAGCAGAGCAGGGCGGAGCAGAGCAGGGCGGAGCAGAGCAGGGCGGAGCAGAGCAGGGCGGAGCAGAGCAGGGCGGAGCAGAGCAGGGCGGAGCAGAGCAGGGCGGAGCAGAGCAGGGCGGAGCAGAGCAGGGCGGAGCAGAGCAGGGCGGAGCAGAGCAGGGCGGAGCAGAGCAGGGCGGAGCAGAGCAGGGCGGAGCAGAGCAGGGCGGAGCAGAGCAGGGCGGAGCAGAGCAGGGCGGAGCAGAGCAGGGCGGAGCAGAGCAGGGCGGAGCAGAGCAGGGCGGAGCAGAGCAGGGCGGAGCAGAGCAGGGCGGAGCAGAGCAGGGCGGAGCAGAGCAGGGCGGAGCAGAGCAGGGCGGAGCAGAGCAGGGCGGAGCAGAGCAGGGCGGAGCAGAGCAGGGCGGAGCAGAGCAGGGCGGAGCAGAGCAGGGCGGAGCAGAGCAGGGCGGAGCAGAGCAGGGCGGAGCAGAGCAGGGCGGAGCAGAGCAGGGCGGAGCAGAGCAGGGCGGAGCAGAGCAGGGCGGAGCAGAGCAGGGCGGAGCAGAGCAGGGCGGAGCAGAGCAGGGCGGAGCAGAGCAGGGCGGAGCAGAGCAGGGCGGAGCAGAGCAGGGCGGAGCAGAGCAGGGCGGAGCAGAGCAGGGCGGAGCAGAGCAGGGCGGAGCAGAGCAGGGCGGAGCAGAGCAGGGCGGAGCAGAGCAGGGCGGAGCAGAGCAGGGCGGAGCAGAGCAGGGCGGAGCAGAGCAGGGCGGAGCAGAGCAGGGCGGAGCAGAGCAGGGCGGAGCAGAGCAGGGCGGAGCAGAGCAGGGCGGAGCAGAGCAGGGCGGAGCAGAGCAGGGCGGAGCAGAGCAGGGCGGAGCAGAGCAGGGCGGAGCAGAGCAGGGCGGAGCAGAGCAGGGCGGAGCAGAGCAGGGCGGAGCAGAGCAGGGCGGAGCAGAGCAGGGCGGAGCAGAGCAGGGCGGAGCAGAGCAGGGCGGAGCAGAGCAGGGCGGAGCAGAGCAGGGCGGAGCAGAGCAGGGCGGAGCAGAGCAGGGCGGAGCAGAGCAGGGCGGAGCAGAGCAGGGCGGAGCAGAGCAGGGCGGAGCAGAGCAGGGCGGAGCAGAGCAGGGCGGAGCAGAGCAGGGCGGAGCAGAGCAGGGCGGAGCAGAGCAGGGCGGAGCAGAGCAGGGCGGAGCAGAGCAGGGCGGAGCAGAGCAGGGCGGAGCAGAGCAGGGCGGAGCAGAGCAGGGCGGAGCAGAGCAGGGCGGAGCAGAGCAGGGCGGAGCAGAGCAGGGCGGAGCAGAGCAGGGCGGAGCAGAGCAGGGCGGAGCAGAGCAGGGCGGAGCAGAGCAGGGCGGAGCAGAGCAGGGCGGAGCAGAGCAGGGCGGAGCAGAGCAGGGCGGAGCAGAGCAGGGCGGAGCAGAGCAGGGCGGAGCAGAGCAGGGCGGAGCAGAGCAGGGCGGAGCAGAGCAGGGCGGAGCAGAGCAGGGCGGAGCAGAGCAGGGCGGAGCAGAGCAGGGCGGAGCAGAGCAGGGCGGAGCAGAGCAGGGCGGAGCAGAGCAGGGCGGAGCAGAGCAGGGCGGAGCAGAGCAGGGCGGAGCAGAGCAGGGCGGAGCAGAGCAGGGCGGAGCAGAGCAGGGCGGAGCAGAGCAGGGCGGAGCAGAGCAGGGCGGAGCAGAGCAGGGCGGAGCAGAGCAGGGCGGAGCAGAGCAGGGCGGAGCAGAGCAGGGCGGAGCAGAGCAGGGCGGAGCAGAGCAGGGCGGAGCAGAGCAGGGCGGAGCAGAGCAGGGCGGAGCAGAGCAGGGCGGAGCAGAGCAGGGCGGAGCAGAGCAGGGCGGAGCAGAGCAGGGCGGCGCAGAGCAGGGCGGAGCAGAGCAGGGGCATGAGCCTGTTCCCCTACCCCTGTCCCCCTCCCACCAGGTGCTGGAAGTACTGGATGTGGTGGCACAGGCGGAGGTGTTCCGCGCCTTCCCCATGTACGAGCAGAGCAGGGCAGGGCAGAGATAGTGCATGAACGCATTCCCCTTTCTCTGTGTTCGCTCCCCCATTTCCTCCCTCCCACCACCAGGTATTGGAGGTGCTAGACGAGGTGGCCCAAGCGGAGGTGTTCCGCACCTTCCCCATGTACGAGCAGGTGCACGAACGCATCTACGTGCGCGTGGCGGGACTGCCCGTCATCGACCAGATCCGCGATATCAGGTGAAAACAACAGAGAGGGGTATCCGGTGTCAAGTGGTCAACACAGGGAGCTAACAGAAATTTCCAGGCTATTGCGTCGCTACAGAGGAATCAGGGCTTGTAGGGTGAATGGAACAGATGGAATAGCATGATTCATCCTTTGTTTCTGCTCCAGCTTTAACCCGCATCATCAAGCCCGCATGCACATTCCAGCGTCTAACATCCACAGCTATGATTCTCCACCACATTAATTCTCCACCTCACGACCCCTGCACTGCGTGCGTGTGACAGGCAAACGCATCTCAACTGTCTCATCCGCGTGGGAGGGGTTGTCACTCGCAGGACCGGAGTGTTCCCCCAGCTGCAGCAGGTCAGCCAGTCCTCTCAAGCAGCGTATGAGCGGGCGGTGCAGCGTATGAGCGGGCGGTGCAGCGTATGAGCGTGCGGTGCAGCGTATGAGCGTGCGGTGCAGCGTATGAGCGGGCGGTGCAGCGTATGAGCGGGCGGTGCAGCGTATGAGCGTGCGGTGCAGCGTATGAGCGTGCGGTGCAGCGTATGAGCGGGCGGTGCAGCGTATGAGCGGGCGGTGCAGCGTATGAGCGGGCGGTGCAGCGTATGAGCGGGCGGTGCAGCGTATGAGCGGGCGGTGCAGCGTATGAGCGGGCGGTGCAGCGTATGAGCGTGCGGTGCAGCGTATGAGCGGGCGGTGCAGCGTATGAGCGGGCCGTGCAGCGTATGGGCGTGCGGTGCAGCGTATGAGCGTGCGGTGCAGCGTATGAGCGTGTCGTGCAGCGTATGAGTGGGTGGTGCAGCGTATGAGCGGGCGGTGCAGCGCATGAGCGGGCGGTGCAGCGCATGAGCGGGCGGTGCAGCGTATGAGCGGGCGGTGCAGCGTATGAGCGTGCAGTGCAGCGTATGAGCGGGCGGTGCAGCGTATGAGCGGGCGGTGCAGCGTATGAGCGTGCGGTGCAGCGTACGAGCGGGCGGTGCAGCGTTAAAGTCGGCGGTGCAGCGTATGAGCGGGCGGTGCAGCGTATGAGTGGGCGGTGCAGCGCATGAGCGTGCGGTGCAGCGTATGAGCGGGCGGTGCAGCGCATGAGCGGGCGATGCAGCGTATGAGCTGGCGATGCAGCGTGTGAGCGGGTGGTGCAGCGTATGAGCGTGCGGTGCAGAGTATGAGCGTGCGGTGCAGCGTATGAGCCGGCGGTGCAGCGTATGAGCGTGCGGTGCAGCGCATGAGCGGGCGGTGCAGCGCATGAGCGGGCGGTGCAGCGTATGAGCGGGCGGTGCAGCGTATGAGCGGGCGGTGCAGCGTATGAGCGGGCGGTGCAGCGTTAAAGTCTCCCAAAGCAGTTGCTCTTCTGCTGCTTCAGCGTGAAAGTTCTCTTTCTTTCTGAAATTCTGGCCCTCGTTGCTCCACATTGGGTGCATGCTTTTTCTGTATCAGGAACTCATGCGTCAGGAATTCTGAACCGCATGCAGCTTTTGTGTCTTTGAATGCTCACCGCACTGCACCCCACCAGGTGAAGTACAACTGCATCAAGTACGGCGCCATCCTTAAACGTCACTCACCATGCTTCGCCCCATTTCCCCCATCCCCCACTCACCGCATTCCACCGCACTGCACCGCACTGCACCCCGGCAGGTGAAGTACAACTGCATCAAGTGCGGCGCCATCCTGGGCCCATTCTTCCAGACGTCCTCCTCTGAGATCCGCATCCGCACGTGCGCTGAGTGCCAGTCCAAAGGGCCCTTCCAGGTCAACGTGGAGCAGGTGAGGAGGAAGAAGGGCAGAGGGGGGTGAAGGGATGGGGGTTGGCATGCTTAACCCTGCTTTCAGGACCCCTCACGTGCGCTGAGTGCCAGTCCAGGGGGCCTTTCCAGGTCAACGTGGAGCAGGTGAGAAAAAAGGGGTTGAATGGGGCATGTGGGGGGGAAGGGAAGTGCTGGTAGGGAGGGTGGGTGTGCTGTTGGGGCTGTGCACGTGTGCTGAGTGCGAGTCCAAGGTTCCCTTCCAGGTCACCGTGGAGCAGGTGAGGGATTGAAGGGATACGAGAGGGGGAAGGAATGAAGGGGGAATGCTGCTAGAAAGGTAGCTGTTAGGGCTCTCCACATGCGCTGAGTGCCAGTCCAAGGGGCCCTTCCAGGTCAACGTGGAGCAGGTGAGTGCAGCAGGATGGGTTGAGAGGGAAAGGGAGAGGGAGGGGGAGGGATGGAGGCATTCAACAATGACCTCAAGAAATTAGTGCTAGGGATTCTACCAGGGACACAGGGAGCAGGTGAGGACGATAATCCTGCAGGAGAGGTGTGGCAGTGTGGTTCCTGTCTCTTTAGAGGTGACCTTCCTTCGTTTGAGAACACCGACCCACCGAATTGTCCTCTCCCTTGCTGTTCCCTCCCCCACCGCCCCTCACCGCAGACCATCTATCGCAACTACCAGAAGATGACCCTGCAGGAGAGCCCTGGCAGCGTGCCAGCGGGGCGGCTGCCGCGCTACAAGGAGGTGGTGCTGCTCAACGACCTCATTGACTGCGCGCGACCGGGGGAAGAAATTGTAAGTTTGAGTAGTTGGCTTTAAGTCCGTGAGCTGGTTCTGTGTGGGCAGGGCGGCTGCCGGGGGGTGGTGCTGCTCAACGACTTGATCGACTGTGCGCGACTGCAGGTCACTGACTGGAGGTCATGACTGGAGGTCACTGACTGGAGGTCACTGACTGGAGCTCACTGACTGGAGGTCACTGACTGGAGCTCACTGACTGGAGGTCACTGACTGGAGGTCACTGACTGGAGGTCGCTGACTGGAGGTCGCTGACTGGAGGTCGCTGACTGGAGGTCACTGACTGGAGGTCACTGACTGGAGGTCACTGACTGGAGGTCACTGACTGGAGGTCACTGACTGGAGGTCACTGACTGGAGCTCCCTGACTGGAGCTCCCTGACTGGAGGTCGCTGACTGGAGCTCCCTGACTGGAGCTCCCTGACTGGAGCTCCCTGACTGGAGGTCACTGACTGGAGGTCACTGACTGGAGCTCACTGACTGGAGGTCACTGACTGGAGGTCGCTGACTGGAGGTCACTGACTGGAGCTCCCTGACTGGAGCTCCCTGACTGGAGGTCACTGACTGGAGCTCACTGACTGGAGCTCACTGACTGGAGCTCACTGACTGGAGGTCACTGACTGGAGGTCACTGACTGGAGGTCACTGACTGGAGGTCACTGACTGGAGGTCACTGACTGGAGCTCACTAACTGGAGGTCACTGACTGGAGGTCGCTGACTGGAGGTCACTGACTGGAGCTCCCTGACTGGAGGTCACTGACTGGAGGTCACTGACTGGAGGTCGCTGACTGGAGGTCACTGACTGGAGCTCCCTGACTGGAGCTCACTGACTGGAGGTCACTGACTGGAGGTCACTGACTGGAGGTCACTGACTGGAGGTCGCTGACTGGAGGTCGCTGACTGGAGGTCACTGACTGGAGCTCCCTGACTGGAGGTCCCTGACTGGAGGTCCCTGACTGGAGGTCACTGACTGGAGGTCACTGACTGGAGGTCGCTGACTGGAGGTCACTGACTGGAGCTCCCTGACTGGAGCTCCCTGACTGGAGGTCACTGACTGGAGCTCACTGACTGGAGCTCACTGACTGGAGGTCACTGACTGGAGGTCACTGACTGGAGGTCACTGACTGGAGGTCACTGACTGGAGGTCACTGACTGGAGGTCACTGACTGGAGCTCACTGACTGGAGGTCACTGACTGGAGGTCGCTGACTGGAGGTCACTGACTGGAGCTCCCTGACTGGAGGTCACTGACTGGAGGTCACTGACTGGAGGTCGCTGACTGGAGGTCACTGACTGGAGCTCCCTGACTGGAGCTCACTGACTGGAGGTCACTGACTGGAGGTCACTGACTGGAGGTCGCTGACTGGAGGTCGCTGACTGGAGGTCACTGACTGGAGCTCCCTGACTGGAGCTCCCTGACTGGAGGTCCCTGACTGGAGGTCACTGACTGGAGGTCACTGACTGGAGGTCACTGACTGGAGCTCCCTGACTGGAGCTCCCTGACTGGAGCTCCCTGACTGGAGGTCACTGACTGGAGGTCACTGACTGGAGGTCACTGACTGGAGCTCCCTGACTGGAGCTCCCTGACTGGAGGTCCCTGACTGGAGCTCCCTGACTGGAGCTCACTGACTGGAGCTCACTGACTGGAGCTCACTGACTGGAGCTCACTGACTGGAGCTCACTGACTGGAGCTCACTGACTGGAGCTCACTGACTGGAGGTCGCTGACTGGAGGTCACTGACTGGAGGTCGCTGACTGGAGGTCACTGACTGGAGGTCACTGACTGGAGGTCACTGACTGGAGGTCACTGACTGGAGCTCCCTGACTGGAGCTCCCTGACTGGAGGTCGCTGACTGGAGCTCCCTGACTGGAGCTCCCTGACTGGAGCTCCCTGACTGGAGGTCACTGACTGGAGGTCACTGACTGGAGCTCACTGACTGGAGGTCACTGACTGGAGGTCGCTGACTGGAGGTCACTGACTGGAGCTCCCTGACTGGAGCTCACTGACTGGAGGCCACTGACTGGAGGTCGCTGACTGGAGGTCACTGACTGGAGCTCCCTGACTGGAGCTCACTGACTGGAGGTCACTGACTGGAGGTCACTGACTGGAGGTCGCTGACTGGAGGTCGCTGACTGGAGGTCACTGACTGGAGCTCCCTGACTGGAGGTCCCTGACTGGAGGTCCCTGACTGGAGGTCACTGACTGGAGGTCACTGACTGGAGGTCACTGACTGGAGCTCCCTGACTGGAGCTCCCTGACTGGAGGTCCCTGACTGGAGGTCACTGACTGGAGGTCACTGACTGGAGGTCACTGACTGGAGCTCCCTGACTGGAGCTCCCTGACTGGAGGTCCCTGACTGGAGCTCCCTGACTGGAGGTCACTGACTGGAGGTCACTGACTGGAGCTCACTGACTGGAGGTCACTGACTGGAGCTCACTGACTGGAGGTCACTGACTGGAGGTCACTGACTGGAGGTCACTGACTGGAGCTCACTAACTGGAGGTCACTGACTGGAGGTCGCTGACTGGAGGTCACTGACTGGAGCTCCCTGACTGGAGGTCACTGACTGGAGGTCACTGACTGGAGGTCGCTGACTGGAGGTCACTGACTGGAGCTCCCTGACTGGAGCTCACTGACTGGAGGTCACTGACTGGAGGTCACTGACTGGAGGTCACTGACTGGAGGTCGCTGACTGGAGGTCGCTGACTGGAGGTCACTGACTGGAGCTCCCTGACTGGAGGTCCCTGACTGGAGGTCCCTGACTGGAGGTCACTGACTGGAGGTCACTGACTGGAGGTCGCTGACTGGAGGTCACTGACTGGAGCTCCCTGACTGGAGCTCCCTGACTGGAGGTCACTGACTGGAGCTCACTGACTGGAGCTCACTGACTGGAGGTCACTGACTGGAGGTCACTGACTGGAGGTCACTGACTGGAGGTCACTGACTGGAGGTCACTGACTGGAGGTCACTGACTGGAGCTCACTGACTGGAGGTCACTGACTGGAGGTCGCTGACTGGAGGTCACTGACTGGAGCTCCCTGACTGGAGGTCACTGACTGGAGGTCACTGACTGGAGGTCGCTGACTGGAGGTCACTGACTGGAGCTCCCTGACTGGAGCTCACTGACTGGAGGTCACTGACTGGAGGTCACTGACTGGAGGTCGCTGACTGGAGGTCGCTGACTGGAGGTCACTGACTGGAGCTCCCTGACTGGAGCTCCCTGACTGGAGGTCCCTGACTGGAGGTCACTGACTGGAGGTCACTGACTGGAGGTCACTGACTGGAGCTCCCTGACTGGAGCTCCCTGACTGGAGCTCCCTGACTGGAGGTCACTGACTGGAGGTCACTGACTGGAGGTCACTGACTGGAGCTCCCTGACTGGAGCTCCCTGACTGGAGGTCCCTGACTGGAGCTCCCTGACTGGAGGTCACTGACTGGAGCTCACTGACTGGAGCTCACTGACTGGAGCTCACTGACTGGAGCTCACTGACTGGAGCTCACTGACTGGAGCTCACTGACTGGAGGTCGCTGACTGGAGGTCACTGACTGGAGGTCGCTGACTGGAGGTCACTGACTGGAGGTCACTGACTGGAGGTCACTGACCGGAGGTCACTGACTGGAGCTCCCTGACTGGAGCTCCCTGACTGGAGGTCGCTGACTGGAGGTCGCTGACTGGAGGTCGCTGACTGGAGGTCGCTGACTGGAGGTCGCTGACTGGAGCTCGCTGACTGGAGGTCGCTGACTGGAGGTCGCTGACTGGAGGTCACTGACTGGAGCTCACTGACTGGAGCTCACTGACTGGAGCTCACTGACTGGAGCTCACTGACTGGAGCTCACTGACTGGAGCTCACTGACTGGAGGTCCCTGACTGGAGGTCACTGACTGGAGGTCGCTGACTGGAGGTCGCTGACTGGAGGTCGCTGACTGGAGGTCGCTGACTGGAGGTCGCTGACTGGAGGTCACTGACTGGAGGTCACTGACTGGAGCTCACTGACTGGAGCTCACTGACTGGAGCTCACTGACTGGAGCTCACTGACTGGAGCTCACTGACTGGAGGTCCCTGACTGGAGGTCACTGACTGGAGCTCGCTGACTGGAGCTCGCTGACTGGAGGTCACTGACTGGAGGTCACTGACTGGAGGTCACTGACTGGAGGTCACTGACTGGAGGTTGCTGACTGGAGGTTGCTGACTGGAGGTCCCTGACTGGAGCTCACTGACTGGAGCTCCCTGACTGGAGCTCACTGACTGGAGGTCACTGACTGGAGGTCGCTGACTGGAGGTCGCTGACTGGAGGTCGCTGACTGGAGCTCCCTGACTGGAGCTCCCTGACTGGAGGTCCCTGACTGGAGGTCACTGACTGGAGGTCACTGACTGGAGGTCACTGACTGGAGCTCCCTGACTGGAGCTCCCTGACTGGAGGTCCCTGACTGGAGTTCACTGACTGGAGGTCCCTGACTGGAGGTCACTGACTGGAGCTCACTGACTGGAGCTCACTGACTGGAGCTCACTGACTGGAGCTCACTGACTGGAGGTCACTGACTGGAGGTCACTGACTGGAGCTCACTGACTGGAGCTCACTGACTGGAGCTCACTGACTGGAGCTCACTGACTAGAACTCACTGACTGGAGGTCCCTGACTGGAGGTCACTGACTGGAGCTCGCTGACTGGAGGTCGCTGACTGGAGGTCACTGACTGGAGGTCACTGACTGGAGGTCACTGACTGGAGGTCACTGACTGGAGGTCACTGACTGGAGGTCGCTGACTGGAGGTCACTGACTGGAGCTCCCTGACTGGAGCTCACTGACTGGAGCTCCCTGACTGGAGCTCACTGACTGGAGGTCACTGACTGGAGGTCGCTGACTGGAGGTCGCTGACTGGAGGTCGCTGACTGGAGCTCCCTGACTGGAGCTCCCTGACTGGAGGTCCCTGACTGGAGGTCACTGACTGGAGGTCACTGACTGGAGCTCCCTGACTGGAGCTCCCTGACTGGAGGTCCCTGACTGGAGCTCACTGACTGGAGGTCCCTGACTGGAGGTCACTGACTGGAGCTCACTGACTGGAGCTCACTGACTGGAGCTCACTGACTGGAGCTCACTGACTGGAGCTCACTGACTGGAGCTCACTGACTGGAGCTCACTGACTGGAGCTCACTGACTGGAGCTCACTGACTGGAGCTCACTGACTGGAGCTCACTGACTGGAGGTCCCTGACTGGAGGTCACTGACTGGAGCTCGCTGACTGGAGGTCGCTGACTGGAGGTCACTGACTGGAGGTCACTGACTGGAGGTCACTGACTGGAGGTCACTGACTGGAGGTCACTGACTGGAGGTCACTGACTGGAGGTCGCTGACTGGAGGTCACTGACTGGAGCTCCCTGACTGGAGCTCACTGACTGGAGCTCCCTGACTGGAGCTCACTGACTGGAGGTCACTGACTGGAGGTCGCTGACTGGAGGTCGCTGACTGGAGGTCGCTGACTGGAGCTCCCTGACTGGAGCTCCCTGACTGGAGGTCCCTGACTGGAGGTCACTGACTGGAGGTCACTGACTGGAGCTCCCTGACTGGAGCTCCCTGACTGGAGGTCGCTGACTGGAGGTCGCTGACTGGAGGTCGCTGACTGGAGGTCGCTGACTGGAGCTCGCTGACTGGAGGTCGCTGACTGGAGGTCGCTGACTGGAGGTCACTGACTGGAGGTCACTGACTGGAGCTCACTGACTGGAGCTCACTGACTGGAGCTCACTGACTGGAGCTCACTGACTGGAGCTCACTGACTGGAGGTCCCTGACTGGAGGTCACTGACTGGAGGTCGCTGACTGGAGGTCGCTGACTGGAGGTCGCTGACTGGAGGTCGCTGACTGGAGGTCGCTGACTGGAGGTCACTGACTGGAGGTCACTGACTGGAGCTCACTGACTGGAGCTCACTGACTGGAGCTCACTGACTGGAGCTCACTTACTGGAGCTCACTGACTGGAGGTCCCTGACTGGAGGTCACTGACTGGAGCTCGCTGACTGGAGGTCGCTGACTGGAGGTCACTGACTGGAGGTCACTGACTGGAGGTCACTGACTGGAGGTCACTGACTGGAGGTCACTGACTGGAGGTCGCTGACTGGAGGTCACTGACTGGAGCTCCCTGACTGGAGCTCACTGACTGGAGCTCCCTGACTGGAGCTCACTGACTGGAGGTCACTGACTGGAGGTCGCTGACTGGAGGTCGCTGACTGGAGGTCGCTGACTGGAGCTCCCTGACTGGAGCTCCCTGACTGGAGGTCCCTGACTGGAGGTCACTGACTGGAGGTCACTGACTGGAGCTCCCTGACTGGAGGTCCCTGACTGGAGGTCCCTGACTGGAGCTCACTGACTGGAGGTCCCTGACTGGAGCTCACTGACTGGAGCTCACTGACTGGAGCTCACTGACTGGAGCTCACTGACTGGAGCTCACTGACTGGAGCTCACTGACTGGAGCTCACTGACTGGAGCTCACTGACTGGAGCTCACTGACTGGAGCTCACTGACTGGAGCTCACTGACTGGAGCTCACTGACTGGAGGTCCCTGACTGGAGGTCACTGACTGGAGGTCGCTGACTGGAGGTCGCTGACTGGAGGTCACTGACTGGAGGTCACTGACTGGAGGTCACTGACTGGAGGTCACTGACTGGAGGTCACTGACTGGAGGTCACTGACTGGAGGTCGCTGACTGGAGGTCACTGACTGGAGCTCCCTGACTGGAGCTCACTGACTGGAGCTCCCTGACTGGAGCTCACTGACTGGAGGTCACTGACTGGAGGTCGCTGACTGGAGGTCGCTGACTGGAGGTCGCTGACTGGAGCTCCCTGACTGGAGCTCCCTGACTGGAGGTCCCTGACTGGAGGTCACTGACTGGAGGTCACTGACTGGAGCTCCCTGACTGGAGCTCCCTGACTGGAGGTCCCTGACTGGAGCTCACTGACTGGAGGTCCCTGACTGGAGGTCACTGACTGGAGCTCACTGACTGGAGCTCACTGACTGGAGCTCACTGACTGGAGCTCACTGACTGGAGCTCACTGACTGGAGCTCACTGACTGGAGGTCACTGACTGGAGGTCGCTGACTGGAGGTCGCTGACTGGAGGTCGCTGACTGGAGCTCGCTGACTGGAGGTCGCTGACTGGAGGTCGCTGACTGGAGGTCACTGACTGGAGGTCACTGACTGGAGCTCACTGACTGGAGCTCACTGACTGGAGCTCACTGACTGGAGCTCACTGACTGGAGCTCACTGACTGGAGGTCCCTGACTGGAGGTCACTGACTGGAGGTCGCTGACTGGAGGTCGCTGACTGGAGGTCGCTGACTGGAGGTCGCTGACTGGAGCTCGCTGACTGGAGGTCGCTGACTGGAGGTCGCTGACTGGAGGTCACTGACTGGAGCTCCCTGACTGGAGGTCACTGACTGGAGGTCGCTGACTGGAGGTCACTGACTGGAGGTCACTGACTGGAGGTCACTGACTGGAGGTCACTGACTGGAGGTCACTGACTGGAGGTCACTGACTGGAGGTCACTGACTGGAGGTCACTGACTGGAGGTCACTGACTGGAGGTCGCTGACTGGAGGTCACTGACTGGAGCTCACCGTCAAAGCGGTGACCGGCATCTATGTGATGTGAACAACTTCGACGCGGCGCTCAACACGAGGCAGGGTTTCCCGGTGTTCTCCACGGTGATAGAGGCGAACCACCCTTGCACTCATCCCCCCTTCCTTCCCCCCATCCGTGCATGGATGCACCCCTTGCTTTCCTCATTGCTCGCAATTTCCAACAGGAAGTAACAGGCATATACGTGAACAACTTTGACGCAGCGCTGAACACGCGGCAGGGCTTCCCAGTGTTCTCCACGGTGATAGAGGCCAACCACATCAGCAAGCGGCAGGACGCCTTTGCTGCTTACCGGCTGACGGACGAGGATAAAGAGGAGATCATGCGCCTGTCCCGGGACCCACGCATTGCTGAACGGGTGAGTGAATGGTGGGGAGAAAGGGTGTGGTGGGATTAGCATCAGCAAGGGGCAGGACGCCTTCGCTGCTTAGCGGCTGACGGATGAAGACAAGGAGGAGATCATGCGGCTGTCCCGGGACCCCCCGTTGCTGAAAGGATGAGCTGGGAGGGTGAGCTGGGAGGGAGGGAGATAGGGTGTGCAATGAGAATGAGGGAGATGAGTTGTGGAGGACAGAAAGGATGAGGATCGCTGGAGAGCATGGTCTGAGGGTGTGAGGGTGTAAGGGTGTGTGAGTGTGAGGGCGTCCCTTCCCTCTGTCCCTCTCCCCTGCAGATCATCAAGTCCATCGCCCCTTCCATCTACGGCCATGAGAACGTGAAGACTCGTTGGCCCTGGCCATGTTCGGTCAGATGGCACAAGAACGTGCTTTCCTCCTAATGCTTCCTTCCCTCCGCCCCCCCTGCCTCTCTGCTGCCCCGTCCCTCAGATCATCAAGTCCATCGCCTCTTCCATCAACGGCCACGAGACCGTGAAGACGTCACTGGCACTGGCCATGTTCGGTTGCAAGGGTACCACACACTTCTCCCATAGCTTTTCTTCCCCCCGCCTTCCCCTGCAGATCATCAAGTCCATCGCGCCCTCTATCTACGGCCATGAGAACGTCAAGACATTGTTGGCCCTGGCCATGTTCGATCGAATGGCAGGAAAAGGTGCCATCCAAATGCTGCCTTCCCTCCTCTCCCCTGCCACTTCTCTACCCCGTTTCTCCCCCCCCCAGATCATCAAGTCCATCGCGCCTTCCATCTACGGCCACGAGAACGTGAAGACGTCACTGGCACTGGCCATGTTCGGTTGCAAGGGTACCACACACTTCTCCCATAGCTTTTCTTCCCCCCGCCTTCCCCTGCAGATCATCAAGTCCATCGCGCCCTCTATCTACGGCCATGAGAACGTGAAGACGTCACTGGCGCTGGCCATGTTCGGGGGGCAGGAGAAGAACGCTGGGGGCAAGCACCGGCTGAGAGGCGACATCAACGCGCTGCTGCTGGGGGACCCTGGCACGGCCAAGTCGCAATTCCTGAAGTGAGTGCTCTGTGGGGTGAGGAGTGAGAGAGGTAATGAAGGGACGAGGCGCAAGGAAACGAGGATTGAAGGACGAGGGCGCGTTGGGCAGTGGGACTGAGAGCAGTCGTGCCTCTCATCCCAGTGCATGCCTGCCTCCCACTCCTGCTCGTGCCTGTGCCTGTGCCTGTGCATGTGCCTGTGCCTGTGCCTGTGCCTGTGCCTGTGCCTGTGCCTGTGCCTGTGCCTGTGCCTGTGCCTGTGCCTGTGCCTGTGCCTGTGCCTGTGCCTGTGCCTGTGCCTGTGCCTGTGCCTGTGCCTGTGCCTGTGCCTGTGCCTGTGCCTGTGCCTGTGCCTGTGCCTGTGCCTGTGCCTGTGCCTGTGCCTGTGCCTGTGCCTGTGCCTGTGCCTGTGCCTGTGCCTGTGCCTGTGCCTGTGCCTGTGCCTGTGCCTGTGCCTGTGCCTGTGCCTGTGCCTGTGCCTGTGCCTGTGCCTGTGCCTGTGCCTGTGCCTGTGCCTGTGCCTGTGCCTGTGCCTGTGCCTGTGCCTGTGCCTGTGCCTGTGCCTGTGCCTGTGCCTGTGCCTGTGCCTGTGCCTGTGCCTGTGCCTGTGCCTGTGCCTGTGCCTGTGCCTGTGCCTGTGCCTGTGCCTGTGCCTGTGCCCGTGCCCGTGCCCGTGCAAGTGCCCGTGCCCGTGCCCGTGCCCGTGCCCGTGCCCGTGCCCGTGCCCGTGCCCGTGCCCGTGCCCGTGCCCGTGCCCGTGCCCGTGCCCGTGCCCGTGCCTGTGCCTGTGCCTGTGCCTGTGCCTGTGCCTGTGCCTGTGCCTGTGCCTGTGCCTGTGCTTGTACTCGCTCCTGATCCCTGTGTTTGCAACAACTCCCACCAGGTGTCTGGAAGAGACAGCACGTCGTGCCGTGTACACAACGGGCAAGGCCGCATCGGCAGTGAGGCTGACAGCAGCCGTGCACAAGTACCCCGTCACCCGCCATTCCCCAACCCTGTCGTTCCTGTGGTTGTGCTTGTGTTTTGAACCAGGTATCTGGAGAAAACATCTCACCGCGCCGTCTACACGACAGGAAAAGGCGCATCAGCAGTGGGGCTGACAGCCGCCGTGCACAAGGACCCCACCTCTCATGCCTGGTGCTTGTCCTTGTGCGTGCACCTCCCACCAGGTACTTAGAGAAGACCGCCCACCGTGCTGTCTACACAACAGGCAAGGGCGCATCAGCGGTGGGGCTGACAGCAGCCGTGCACAAGGACCCCGTCACCCGCGAGTGGACGCTGGAGGGAGGGGCGCTGGTGCTGGCTGACAGAGGCACGTGCCTGATAGACGAGTTTGACAAGATGAGCGAACAGGACAGGTACAGTGAGGGATTGGGGCTTGGGTGGAGAGTGGGAGGGATAGGTGTGTGGGACCTTAGGGAGTGGACTCTCTAAGGAGGCGCGCTGGTGCTGGCTGATAGGGGCACGTGCCTCATTGACGAGTTTGACAAGATGAGCGAACAGGACAGGTACAGGGAGGGATTGGGGCTTGGGTGGAGAGTGGGAGGGATAGGTGTGTGGGACCTTAGGGAGTGGACTCTCTAAGGAGGCGCGCTGGTGCTGGCTGATAGGGGCACGTGCCTCATTGACGAGTTTGACAAGATGAGCAAACAGGACAGGTACAGGGAGGGATTGGGGCTTGGGTGGAGAGTGGGAGGGATAGGTGTGTGGGACCTTAGGGAGTGGACTCTCTAAGGAGGCGCGCTGGTGCTGGCTGATAGGGGCACGTGCCTCATTGACGAGTTTGACAAGATGAGCGAACAGGACAGGTACAGGGAGGGATTGGGTCTTGGGTGGAGAGTGGGAGGGATAGGTGTGTGGGACCTTAGGGAGTGGACTCTCTAAGGAGGCGCGCTGGTGCTGGCTGATAGGGGCACGTGCCTCATTGACGAGTTTGACAAGATGAGCGAACAGGACAGGTACAGGGAGGGATTGGGGCTTGGGTGGAGAGTGGGAGGGATAGGTGTGTGGGACCTTAGGGAGTGGACTCTCTAAGGAGGCGCGCTGGTGCTGGCTGATAGGGGCACGTGCCTCATTGACGAGTTTGACAAGATGAGCGAACAGGACAGGTACAGGGAGGGATTGGGGCTTGGGTGGAGAGTGGGAGGGATAGGTGTGTGGGACCTTAGGGAGTGGACTCTCTAAGGAGGCGCGCTGGTGCTGGCTGATAGGGGCACGTGCCTCATTGACGAGTTTGACAAGATGAGGCGAACAGGACAGGTACACCTGGGGCAGGGGGGACTGGTATGTGGGTGGCATGAGGGAACTGTGGGGCAGGGGGGACTGTGGGGCAGGGGGAACTGTGGGGCAGGGGGAACTGTGGGGCAGGGGGAACTGTGGGGCAGGGGGAACTGTGGGGCAGGGGGAACTGTGGGGCAGGGGGAACTGTGGGGCAGGGGGAACTGTGGGGCAGGGGGATGATGTGTGGGGTAAGGTGTCTGATGCTCCACTTGCATTCTACCCATCCCAATCTGCACCACACCCCGTGTCCCTCACACCTTGCCCCACACACTCCTCTTGCTACTTGCCCCACACGCCTCTCACCCCATGCCCCCCACAGGGTGTCCATCCACGAGGCCATGGAGCAGCAGAGCATCAGCATCAGCAAGGCAGGCATCGTCACGTCCCTCGCTGCCCGATGCTCCGTCATTGCTGCTGCCAACCCCATTGGTGGCCGGTGAGTGAGTGGGGCATATGCATGATGCGTCCCTGTGACTGCCAGTGCCCTGCATCAGCATCAGCATCAGCATCAGCATCAGCATCAGCATCAGCAAGACGTTTGGGCAGAACGTGGAGCTCTCAGAGCCCATCCTCTTTATGAGTCCACTCAATACCCCCTTTCACATACACCCCCCAACATGCACCCCCCTCCACTTGCTATCTCCTTCCCATGTCACCATGCCCTCATGGCAGGTACGACTCCAGCAAGACGTTTGGGCAGAACGTGGAGCTATCAGAGCCCATCCGATCACATGTACCTTCCACATGTGCCCCCTCACACACGCATTGCACCATGCCTTCTCCCATCCTGCCCTCTCCTCATGGCAGGTACGACTCGAGCAAGACATTCGGGCAAAACGTGGAGCTCTCAGAGCCCATCCTCTCGCGCTTCGACTGCCTGCTCGTCATCAAGGTGTGTGCATGTCCATGCCTGCACACCTTGATCACATCCATTGACACACATCATGTCCCTTAGGCGTGTGCAACTCTCTTCTCTCACCTTTCCGCCTCTCTCCACCTCTCCCCCCCGTACCTTCTCCTTTTCCACGCTCCTCTTCTCACACCCTCCTTCCCTCATATCTATCCGCGCGCATCTCATTCAAAACCATTCCATCCCGTCGCACGGAGATCTGGTGAACCCAATGATGGATGAGCACTTGGCGCGCTCTGCTTTGATGGATGAGCACTTGGCGCGCTCTGCTTTGATGGATGAGCACTTGGCGCGCTCTGCTTTGATGGCTGGGTCACACTTCTCGCCCTCCTCCCCTCCTCTTCCCGCTCTCTTCTCTGCCTGTATTTGCACATTCCCCTCGCTTCAGGATCTAGTGGATCCAGTGGTGGACGAGCACTTGGCGCGCTTTGTGGTGATGGCTAGGCCACAACTCACACGCTCCTCCCCTCCACTCCTCTTCCTGCTCTCTTCTCTGCCTGTCTTTGCACGCCTCTCTCTTCAGGACCTGGTGGACCCAGTGGTGGATGAGCACTTGGCGCGCTTTGTGGTGGGCAGCCACCAGAGGTCACACCCTCAGGCGCATGGGCATGGGTCGGATGGGCAAGCGAGGGAAGAGGACCCCGATGTATGTATGCATGCTGAACCCTTCACGGGAATGGGTACGGCTGTACAGTGCTGAGTTAGCTTTGTAGTGGGCAGCCATCAGAACTCGCACCCTCAGGCGCATGGGTACGGCAGTGGTGGGCAAGCGAGAGAGGAGGACCCCGATGTACGTATGTGTGCTGACCACTTAGGTATTAGAGGTGTTGCCATGGAAGTTAGCTTTGCGGTGAGCAGCCATCAGAAGTCGCACCCGCATTCCCATGGGCACGGCAGTGATGGGCAAGCGAGGGAAGAGGATCCCGAGGTACGTACATATAGTGTTGTGGTGGGCAACCATTAGAAGTCGCACCCTCAGGCGCATGGTCACACCGGTGATGGGCTGGCTTCAAGAGAAGAGGACCCCGATGTACGTGCATTGCAAACCCTTTGCAGGGAACAGAACAGGTATTGCTGTGGTGGATTAGCTTTGTGGTGGGTTTGCACATTTGTGACACTCTATGGAAATAAACACATATGCCCGCCAGAACGTAGCTTTCACCTCTCACTCCTCCCACCTGTCCACCTTCCTCCACTGCTTTCTCTCCCTGTGTTCCAGATCATCCCGCAGAACCTCCTGAGCAAGTACGTGACCTATGCGCGCCAAAACGTGTCCCTATACGGAGGCACATACAAACATGCCACGTCTTTTCCTCTCGCACATACCCCAGATCATCCCGCAGGACATTCTACGCAAGGATGTCACCTATGCCCGCCAGAACGTCTTCCCTTAACCGAGGCACACACAAACATGCCTCTCCTCTCTCACATTTCCCAGATCATCCCTCAGGACATTCTAAGGAAGTACGTGACCTACGCCCGCCAGAACGTCTTCCCTCGCATGCACGACGCTGACGCTGACAAGATTGCGCTCGTTTACGCCGACCTGCGCCGCCAGTCCCTGGTGGGTGGGTGGGTGGGGGGTGGGTGGTGGGTGGGTTGACACATACAGGCATACGTGGGTAGAGTGCAATAGAGCCAAGCGTCTTTCCGCGCATGCACGACGCTGACGCTGACAAGATTGCACTCGTTTATGCCGGCCTGCGCCGGCAGTCCCTGGTGGGTGGTGGGTGGGGGATGGGTGATGGGTGGTTGATTGGGTGGTGGGAATAAAGGCTCACTCGTTGCTAGCGGAAAGCACGTCTTCCCGCGCATGCACGACGCTGATGCTGACAAGATCGCACTCGTATGTGCCGACCAGCGTCGGCAGATTGAATGATTGTGAGCCACATGCGCTCATGAGCCACATGCGCTCATGCATATCCGTTGCTGACCCCATCCCATCTCCTTCCGCGTTTCCCCTCCCCCCATCCCCCCTCCTCCCTTTCCAAACTACCAGCAAGGGCAGGGCGTGCCAATAGCAGTGCGCCACGTGGAGTCGATGATCCGCATGTCAGAGGCGCACGCCAGGATGCATCTGCGTTGCTTCCCTTACCCGATCCATCTCCTTCCGTCTTACCCCTTCCCCCATTCCCCTTCCCCTCTACCTCACTGGAACGTGCAAATGAGGCACCACGTGCGCTCATGCATATCAGTCGTTTCCGCCATCCCATCTCATTCCCGTTTCCCCCTCCCGCTCCTCCTCCTCCCCCTATTCCCAACCACCAGCAAGGGCAGGGCGTGCCAATAGCGGTGCGCCACGTGGAGTCGATGATCCGCATGTCAGAGGCGCACGCCAGGATGCATCTGCGGCAGTTCGTGACCGACGATGACGTGGACACCGCTATCCGCGTGCTGCTGGAGTCGTTCATCGGCACTCAGAAATACGGCGTGCAGCGCGCTCTTGAGAAGGTAAGGCAGCATGGGGCATGGAACTGAGAGGGAAGGGAAGTGGGTCTTAGTTGGTCACGGACGATGACGTGGACACCGCTATCCGCGTGCTGCTGGAGCTGGATGTGTGGGGGTGGCGTGGGGTAGTGACAGGGAAGTGGGTCTTAGTTGGTCACTGACGATGACGTGGACACCGCCATCCGCGTCTTGTTAGAATCGTTCATCGGGACTCAGAAGTACGGCGTGCAGCGGGCTCTTGAGAAGGTACGCGCTCTAGGCATGCGCGGACGATAACGTGGACACCGCCATCCGTGTCTTGTTAGAGTCTTTCATTGGCACACAGAAACACGGCGTGCAGCGCGCTTTGGAGAAGGTAAGGCAGCCTGAGAAGGTAGGGGGGGGAGATGGACGCACAGGCTTGGGTGCATGCAGGTGCTCTGTTCCTGGCCTGGTGGTTGAGTGGACACCGCTGTCCGTGTGCTGCTGGAATCGTTCATCGGCACGCAGAAATACGCCGTGCAGCAGGCGCTTGAGAAGGTAGGGCGGCCTGGGAAGGTATGTATGGGGGAAGGTACGCACAGGCTTGAGGCTTGGGTGCGTGCAGGTGCTCTGGTCGTGGCCTGGTGGTTGGGTTGAGTGCACCCCTCCATCCGCGTGTTGCACGAGTAGGTAGGGAGATGGAGAACTGACAGGGACGTGGGTGGGTCCTGGGGTTGGACATTCATCGGCATGCAGAAATACAGCGTGCAGCGGGCGTTCGAAAAGGTAGGACCTGCACCAGCTGCTGCTGCACCTGCTGCGGCAGCAGTTGCCAATGATGCCTATACATCCTCTCTTCTTCCCATCCTTCCCTCAACCGCTTACCCTTCTTCCACTCCCCGGTCCTTCAGTCGCTACATGTCGCACCGGAGGGATCTGCACCAGCTGCTGCTGCTCCTGCTGAGGCAGCAGCAGCTGTTACTAAGCACCCTCTCCCTTTCCCATCCTCCGTATCCCTCCGTACCCCTTCCCACCCTCCAGTCCTTCAGTCGCTACATGTCGCACCGCAGGGATCTGCACCAGCTGCTGCTGCACCTGCTGAGGCAGCAGCTGAGGGAGGCGCTGAGGCTGCGGGACCTGGGGTGGACCCAGCCTAGCCGGCGCGGGGGAGGGGCGGCAGGAGAAGGGGAGGAGGTGGTGGAGATGCGAGTGGATGAGCTGGAAGCCAAAGTGAGATGGGTGGGATTGGTGTAAGGTAGGTGTGAGGTGGGATGGAGGCAAGGTAAGATGGAAAGGGAGGTCGAAGGTGAGGTGAGGTTGAGGGAGCGAGGGGGAGGAGGTGGTGGAAATGCGAGTGTATGAGCTGGAAGCCAAGGTGAGATGGTTCTGATTGACTGAAATCTCCGCCCCTGCAGTAACCTCACACTCACGAGCACAGGATCCATCCCCTCCTTCCAGGCTCGGGATTTACGGCACAGTGGATTTGACCTCTTTCTTTGCCAGCCGTCACTTCACTGACAACCACTTCACCCTCGATACGCTCCACCGCGTCTCCTATTCCATCCCCCAATCGTGCTTTTCCCCCACCTCCCTCCCCTCTATTCAGGCTCGGGATTACGGCATTGTAAATTTGACCTCTTTCTTTGCCAGCCGCCACTTCACAGACAACCACTTCACCCTTGATACGCTCCTCCCGCTCCCCTGTTCTCTTTGTCTCCCACCCTCCTTTCCCCCAGGCTCGTGAGTACGGCATTGTGGATTTGACCTCTTTCTTTGCCAGCCGTCACTTCACTGACAACCATTTCACACTCGATACGCTGCACCCCCTCCCCTGTTTCCCTTCCCTTCCCCCCTCTCCTTTCCCTAGGCTCGTGAGTACGGCATTGTGGATCTGAGCTCCTTCTTTGCGAGCCGGCATTTCATCTTTAAGCATCCCCCTCTTATTCGTCTCTGCTCCCTCCCCTCCGTCCAGGCTCGCGAGTACGGCATTGTGGATCTGAGCTCCTTCTTTGCCAGCCGTCACTTCACAGACAACCACTTCACCCTCGATACGCTCCACCGCGTCGTGCTGCACCCCGTGGTGTAGATACATGCATTGTACCCTGCACCAAATGGGTGTAATCACACAGTGCAGATACATGCAGTGCGCCCTGCACCAAATGGGTGTAATCACACAGTGCAGATACATGCAGTGCGCCCTGCACCAAATGGGTGTAATCACACAGTGCAGATACATGCAGTGCGCCCTGCACCAAATGGGTGTAATCACACAGTGCAGATACATGCAGTGCGCCCTGCACCAAATGGGTGTAATCACACAGTGCAGATACACAGTGCACCCTGCACCAGATGGGTGCATATACGCAGTGCACCCTCCACCAATACCAGGTGCAGTTAGGGGGGGCATGCTGACTCTGCAGCCTGGTGTAGTTGCAGAGTGCACCCTGCACCACGAGGTGTATCATGTAGATGGCGAGGGTGCCCTAGTGTAGTCAGGGAGTGTAGTGCAGTGCACCCTCATTCCCTAGTGCAGTGCAGGGGTGTGCTCCCTTACTGTGCCAGCCGTCACTAACAGCCACTTCACCCTTGATGAGCTTAACCGTGTGCTACAGTGTTACTGCTGCTGCTGGTGTAGTCCTTGCCATTTGAGGAGAAGAGTTGTTTGGGGAGAAGGCATTTTTACATTGCTGTGAAAGATTGTAGTAGTACGGTATCAGCTACAGTCAACAGCCTCTATGCTCTTTTGTGACATGTTTCTTGAGGATCTCCTACTGTACTTATTGCCATCTGTTTGCTCGTTCTATCTCTTTGGCAGCAAAGTTACTCTTCAAAAATGATTTCATTTACTATTAAATACAGGTCTGGGACAAGATAATGCAGCCGCACAACCTATCATTGGTCCAGCTGCCGCCAATAGTACATGCACAGGCACATGCACACCTACTAGTGTAAGGAAAGCACCCTCTGACTATGCACAGAGCATGCAGAAAAGCACTTCCAACCCCTATGGGTGGGCTCTTCACATTTGGAAGACCCCTTGTCAGAGATCCCATCTACCAACCTGCTCAAATAGCTCAAGAATATGATGCACTACACTACTAGCGAATAGCGGCATGAGTGGCGACAGATGGATGGTGAGGGATGGATTGGGTTGGTGGGTGGGCAGAGTGGTGCGGAATGGTTGAACAGAGTGGAGATGGTGGTGATGGCGGTGGTGATGATGATGCACTCCAGTGACTGGCACACCCGCAGGTGTGGCTAGCAATGGCAAGGCCCTCGTTGTCTCCTTGTTGCTTCCCCTTCACCACGACTCTACATGGACTCGTGGAAGGTGCGGGAGATGACGTCGAGCTGCTGGTCGCGGGTGAGGCGAGTGAAATGCACGGCATAGCCCGACACACGGATGGTCAGCTGCGGGTACTGCTCAGGGTGCTCCATGGCGTCTAGTAGGGTTTCACGGTTCAGCGCGTTCACGTTCAGATGGAAGGCCCTGCAATGGAGAGAGGAAGAGTACCAGTGAGGTGGTTGGAGACAGGGGAAAGAGGGGTACATGAGAATATGCAGCTGGGAATGAGAGGAGGGAATCATGAAGCGCAAATGTTGGGATTGGAAGCAGTAACCACAACCCTGTTGGACAGGCTGGACATGCGCATGTCATCACAAGGCATGGCATGTCATGTGCCATGGAGAGACATGACATGTAATGGCCAGGGAATGCCGAGCGACTCACCCCTGGTTGAAGTATCCGTCGAGAATCTGAACCATGTTGGAAGTGCGCATGTCATCATCCTTCCCCAGCGCGGAGGGCACCATCGTGAACGTGTTACTAATCCCGTCCAGGCACGATTCGTACGGCAGCTTCGCCACGGAGTTGAGCGACGCGAGCGCGCCCTCCACGTCGCGCCCATGCAGCGGATTCGCGCCGGGGGCAAACGGCTCGCCGTTCTTACGGCCGTCGGGGGTGTTGCCCGTGTGCTTGCCGTACACCACGTTCGACGTGATCGTTAGCACGGACAGCGTGTGCTCCGCGCCGCGGTACGTCTTGTGCGCGCGCAGCTTCGCCATAAACGTCTCCACCAGCCACGACGCCAGCGAATCAACCTCCTCCACGTCATTCCCGAATTTCGGGAAATCGCCTTCGATCTTGAAGTCGGTCACGAGACCGCGGTCGTCCTTAATCGGCGTCACCTTGGCGTGCTTAATCGCCGAGAGCGAGTCCGCCGCGACGCTCAGCCCCGCGACGCCGAACGCGACGAGCCTCCGCACCTCCGTGTCGTGCAGCGCCATCTGCACGCGCTCGTAGTTATACTTATCGTGCATGTAGTGAATAATATTCATCGTGTTGACGTACAGCCCCGCGAGCCACTCCATGGCCGTCTCGTAGCGCGCCATCATGTCGTTAAACTCCAGCGGGCCGTCCGGGAGCGGCGCGAACTGCGGCGCGACTTGCACGCCGCTGATCTCGTCCTTGCCCTCGTTCATAGCGTAGAGCATCAGCTTCGGAAGGTTGCATCGCGCGCCAAAGTACTGCATGTGCTTGCCGATCGCCATGGCCGACACGCAGCATGCGATAGCCGTGTCGTCGCCGAACAGCGGTCGCATGACGTCGTCGTTCTCGTACTGGATCGACGACAGGTCGAGCGACAGCTTTCCGCAGAACCGCTTGAAGTGCTCCGGGAGCTTCGGCGACCAGAGGACCGTTAGGTTAGGCTCAGGTGCGGGGCCGAGGTTGCGAAGCGTCTGCAGGATGCGATACGCGGTTTTGGTAACCATGTGTCGCCCGCCTTCGCCCTTGGTGAGCCCGCCGACGACCGCCGTCACCCACGTGGGGTCGCCCGCGAACAGGTTGTTGTAGTCGGGCGTGCGCAGATGGCGCACCAGGCGCAGCTGGTGGGCGGAAGGGGAAGCGCGGAAAACGGGGAACGGGCGGAACAGGAAATGGGGGAAGAGGTGAGAATTGGGGGCGCTTCGAACCACGCGGGTGGCGGAAGGGGAATAGTTGGGAAACCGGGGAGATTCCGGTAGACGAGGGGATACTTGCGGACAACGCACCGAGGCTGCCAGTATCGCGTACCTTAATAACGAGGTCGTCGATGAGCTCCTGCGCCTGCTCCTCCGTGAGCGCGCCGCTCTTGAGGTCCTTCTCGAAGAACACGTCGAGGAACGCGTCCACGCGCCCCAGCGACATCGCGGCTCCGTCCTGCTCCTTAATCGCCGCCAGGTACCTGGCAGCGGACACGGAGGGAGAGAAGAATCACGACAAGTGGTCTTAGCGTGCGAATCATCCACATTTCTTCTGCGATTCCTCTGCTGCTGCAACTGATGAGTACAAGGGCGGATTAGGCAAGCTTCGTTCGGTATACTCACGCGAAGTACAGCCACTGCACGGCCTCGCGGGCGTCAGTAGCGGGTCGGCTAATATCGTATCCGTAGCTCTTCGCCATGGCCTTGAGCTCCTCGAGCGCGCGAATCTGCTCGGCAACTTCCTCGCGCAGCTGGATAACCTCTTCCGTCATATCCGGGCCCAGAGCCTCCTTGTCCGCCTCCTTCGCCGCAATCAGCGCGTCGACTCCGTAGAGCGCGACGCGGCGGTAGTCGCCGATGATGCGGCCTCGGCCGTACGCGTCGGGAAGGCCTGTCAGGATGCCCTCGCGCCGCGCAACCAGCATCTCCGGCGTGTACGCGTCAAAGACTCCCGCATTATGCGTCTTCACGTATTTCCTGCAAGGATAACGGTCACGAAGGCAGGCAAGAACAGATAAGGAATAAGCTTACGGGAACGACGCATCCTCGAAGCGATGCATTCAACGAGCAAATCCAAACACACGCCACGTCAGCGCACTTACATAAACACCTCGCGCACTCTCTCGTCGACCGGGTAACCGTAACTCTCGAGAGCCGCCTCGACCATGCGCCAGCCGCCCTTGGGCTTGATCATGCGCTTGAGCGGCGCGTCCGCCTGAAAGCCGACAATGAGGTCCTTCTCCTTGTCCAGATATCCCGGGCCGTGCGACACGATAGACGCGGGCGTGGACGGATCGCAGTCCAGCACGCCCTTTTCGTGCTCGATCTTGAGCAACTCGCAGCACTTGTCCCAAATCTGCACGTGCACGCGCGGAGAGGGGGGGAGAATGTCGGGAGAGAGGAAAGGAGTAACGGAACGTGATGAATTTCGCGTGCAAGGTGGTATATTCACAAGAAAATGGGAGTTACGGTCAAGATACCGACGCGTGCAGCTCATACGAGTGCCCATGGCATTTCGTCATATAGCGAAAGAGTCGCATGACGATAGTGATTGTAACGCACCTCGGTGGTTCGGGCGGTGGGTCCGGCGAGGAAGCTATCGTCGCCGTCGTACGGAGTGTAATTCTTCATGATGAACGACGCCACGTCGACACGGCCGGCCTCCGTGGCCGCCACGTGGGCGTCGCTCTCTGCCACCTCAGCCGGCTGTCCCGCGTGGCGCACAACGGTGGAGATAGAACGCGCCGCGAAAGGCTGGAGAGTGGGCACGTGGCCGATCTGCGGCGACCGCTGCGAGGGGAAGGGCTTCGGCGCGGAAGCGGAAGCGGACGAGGCGGAGGAATTGCGGAAAAGGCACTCGGTGCAGTCCTCGCAGCCCATGCCGCAGGGGGAGTTGGTGACGGTACATAGCAGGCCCGACACGCTAGTCGGCTGCGCGGTGGATGTAGATGACGGGCGCGTTGACGGCAGATGGTTGAGTCTCGCGCCGAGTGCGGAGACTAGTTGCTGCGCCGCGCAGCACGCGGCGGGAATGGCATACTGGAGGCAGCGATGACAGGCGGCGGATGCGGCAGGCGAACTGCCTACATTTCGAAGCAAGGCGCTTGACATAGTTACGTATTCCCCAGAGCTAGTGATTTGCAGTAACGGAATGGGATACTGGAAGTCAGAATTGGGAATGTAAGAACGCTGAGAGAGCTGCCAATAAAAATTACCACGACACTGGAGATTAACGAGGAACGTGTGAGGAATATCAAGTGAGGAAAGTTGAACGATGAGAACTAACGGGTGAAGATGAATATAAGGACCACCGTAGTCGTTGGGGAGGTTTGCCACACACCA